GCAAGTAGAGGGCCGCCCCCGCGCCCTGCAGCTCGCAGCCATCCAGCGCCTCCCCGCTGCTCTCGCCGACTGCGCGACGCCACTCCTTGAAGCGGGCGCCCCGCTCATTCCACCGTGTCCACCCCGCGGCGATCGCCCTGACATCCTCCGAGCCGGCGGCAGCGGCGGCCTCGCTCGGCGCCCGCCGCCTCGCCGCGGGGCGCCCCTCGCAGGGCCGCGCGGAGGTCAGCGGGGCCGCGATCATCGACGGGGGGCGGGTCAGCAGGCGCCGCCGCCAGCGCTGTCAGGCGCCCAGCGTTGGCGAGCGCCTGGGCCCGCCGCTCATCCACGGCAGAGATCCCCGCGCGCTCGCCGAGCACGGGGCGACCGCCCGCCCGCCGGCCGACCCTTCGACCCCGCGGCGACAACGGCGCCCCCCGGCACGGCCTCGTCGCCCAGCGCCAGGCCGCCGCCCGCGCGCAGCTCCGCCACCAGCAGCACGGCGCCCGCGTCCCCCAGCGGGGCGGCGCACAAGGCGGGGCGCGTGGCGGCTTCATCGCCGGCCACCTCGGGCGCCCGCGCGCCCGCGCAGCTTCGCCTCGCCCGCGCGCACGGCACGCGCGAACACGAAACCGAAATCGATTTCCCGGCAGGGGGGCTCTCCGTCCCACTTCGATCTCACCCCCCAACCTCCGATATATATATATATAAATATATATATATATATATATTATATATAGATATATATATATATATATATATACCGGGAAATCGATTTCGGTTTCGTGTTCGTGCGTGCCGTGCGGGCAAGGCGAAGCTGCGCGGGCGGGCGAGAGAAAGTCTCCTGTGGCTGAGGCGCGGCCGGACCAAATGACTCCCTTCCGGGCGGCCGGTGGCCCGCGGTGCCCCGCCGGTGCCCCGCTGGTGTCCCGTGTGGCTGAGGCGCGGCCGGACCAAATGACTCCCTTCCGGGCGGCCGGTGGCCCGCGGTGTCCCGCCGGTGCCCCGCTGGTGCCCCGTGTGGCTGAGGCGCGGCCGGACGCAATGATTCCGTTCCGGGCGGCCGGGGCGGCGCGGTGCCCCGCCGGTGTTCCGCCGGCGTCCCGTCCGTGTCCCGTCGGTGTCCCGATGATGATGTTGATGATGATAATGATGATGAGTCTGATGATGATGGTGATGATGATGATGGCGATAATGATGATGATGCTGAAGATGGCGAAGATGATGATGATGCTGATGTTGCTGATGATGATGACGTCGATTGCGAGATCGATTGTGGTATCGGTAGTGAGACCGAATGTGAGATCGACTGTGCGATGCTGATGGCGATGACGGCCTTCATGGCGCTGATGTTTGTGATTATGATGACGACATTGATGATGATAATGATGGTGATGCTGATGGTCATGATGAATACGATGATGGTGATGCTGATGATGATGATGATGTTGATGGTGATGTCGATGATGATGATGACGACGTGGACTCGCGGCTGTTGGTCGTGCCTTGCGCGACCGCCGTCCACAGGCAGGGCCCCGAGCACGTTGGGTCGGGGCCCAGGGGGCTCGGGTGTCCCAGGGGCCGTGGCGCGGGCGCCCCAGGGGCCTTGCGGGCCCGGGGGTCCTCGGCGCTCAGGGCCCCCCAGGGTTCAAGGGCCCAGTCCGGGGGTCGAGGGCTGCAGGGGCTCGAGGCCTCCAGAGGTTCAGTGGTCCAGTCTAGGGGTCGCCATCACCATCACCATCTCGCAATCATTACCACCATCAACAACATCATCACCATCGCCGGGACACCACCGTCAATTTTCGCACCATTCACGGATGTTGGCTCAAGGCTTCTGTTGCACTCGACGCGCGGGGTTCCCCTTTAACGCGCCCACTTCGGTCGCGCACTTCCTTCGGCTTCGCTGCGAGGGGCCAGGCTTTGCCAGCCGAAATGCTCGACAAGAATGTGGAGACGCCGAAGAACATGAACGCCCGGGCGGCCAAGCGCGCCAAGTGGCACGCGAGGGTCCTCGACCCGAAGGTCATTGATTACACGTTCACAGCGAGGAACGAAAAAGTGGAGGCGCAGAAGTTCAGTTGCGTTTTGGCGTCCAACGCGCCCGCGCAGTACATGCTCGGCGCGGTGCCCTTCAGTTTCAAGAATCGGGCTGCGGCAGCCGAAGCCTGCGAGAAATTCACGGCGGGGCGGGAGCTCCGGGCCCCGAGCTTCGACGCCGGAGCCAAGTCGGACTTCGTCGGCGGCCCATTGAAGTCGGCGGTCTCGCTTTGCAGCCCATCGACGCTGACCCGACTCCCGCCCACCAGCGCGGAAGCGTTGGCGCATCCCGCTGAGGGGCTGCAGATCGCACTGGATATCAAGGGCATCGCGGAGCTTCTCAAGGGGACTGCTACTGGTGCAAACAACCGGGCGGCCTTCGACTTCTGCGGCAAGTTCCTCGGCATCACAACTCCCAAGCAAGTCAGTAAGAACGGCAGCCTCCTAATGGGTGCTGGCGGCGGCGGGATCGTGGTGACCGTGTGGAGAAAGGCGCGCGAATACTTCGCCCACGTGCAACCGGGGTCCGGCGTCGCTGTGCTCGGATGCAGTGCTGCGCTTGAGAACGGCGAGGTGAAGATCGACATCTGGCCAGGGGCCCACGTCAGCACCGTTGGCGATCAGGCCCAGTCTTTGACAGGCTTGGACGCCACCAGTCTGTTGGCCGAGGTGCTCACCGCCCAGTGGGCGCCATCTTCCGGCAACGGTTTAGCGAGTGTCATGGAGGCCGCGGCGCACTCCACGCGCGCTGTGGCGTTGGCCGACGCGATTGCCCACCCCCAGCCCATCACGTTTCAGATCAACCGGCGCCTCCTGGACGCGCCGCTACAGCGAGACGCGATGTACACGCACGGCCGCCTCTTCCTCCGGAATTGCCGTCTTCGGGACGCCGCCGGGGGGGTGGACGTAGACGCGGTCACCGATGCCGCCCCGACGGTTGCTCGACCACGTGGCGGAGGGCGGCCCCGCGTCGGAGATAGACGAGCGCTGCGTGGAGCTGGGCGACATCCTCAGCGGCGGCGGGCGGCGGTACCAGCGCCTCGGCCGTTGCGCGTTGCCGCCGCCAGCGCCGACGCCAGCTCCGGTTCCTACACCAGCACCTGCGCCCGCACCCCCGGCGCCTACACCAGCAGTTGGACCAGCCTCCAGGGCGCCAGGCTTTGCCAGCGCCCGCCGTGCCACGACCGCCACAAGCATCACCGAATGAAGATCCCTTGGTCGTCGTTGTCAGTGAGCGGGCCGGCCGGGCTGCCGAATCCTCACCATCAATTCTTCAGTTCAGCTCGCCGTTGACAATGAGCGGGCCGGCCGTGCTGCCGATTTTGCGCAAAGAGTCTTCGTGTCGACTGGCATGGGCGGAGACACGGAGAGAGCGGCATGTGTGTCGAGCGGCATGTGTGACGAGCGGCATGGTGGGATCGTGTGTGGGATTGTGAGACCGGCCGAGAGAGATCGATGATGATATCGATTGTGAGATCGATGGTGAGTTTGATCGAATGAGATCGATGAGTGAGACCGATAAAGAGATCGATAGTGAGATCGATAGTGCAAGAGGGGGCGCGGGCTGCGCCAAGCTTTGCCAGCGCTTCAGTCTTCTGTGGCCAAATGGCGCCGTTAGCTGCCGTTGCGCAAGTTGGGCAGGTTCCCAGGGGGAGGGCCGAATGGTACCAAGGCGCCAAAGAGCAAAGGGTGACGTAAACAACTCGACACCAACGCTCCCAAAAGCCGGCGGCAACGCAACTATCTCCACTGGCACTGTCACAACAACATTCACCATTGTTGCCCATTGCTGGGCCCCTCCCCCCACCAACCTCCTTATCACCCGCTGGGTGGTCCTATAGGTGTGTGTGTATATATACGCACATACATACATACATACATACATACATACATGCATACATGCATACGTGCATACATGCATACATGCATACATGCATACATGCATACATGCATACGTACGTACGTACGTACATACATACATACACGCATGCATAAATATCTATAGATATAATTCGAGGGTTCTCACATCCCCCACTCACTCGCCGCCGACGTGGGGCCCAGGAGGCGCCCGCCCTCGCTCGCGAGGGCGGGAGGCCCGCGGGGGGAACAGGGCGCGAAGCCCGAGGCGGCACATCCAAATAACGCATTTGTTTTCCCCTGTGGCGGCCGTAAGACAGGCGTTCGGGGAGGGGGGGGGACGGGAAGGGGCACAACGCAACGCCCCCCCCCCCCCCCCCCGCCCAGACTGTGGTGCCGGACGCATTGCGGCAGGGCCCGGGGCGCACTGAGGGGGAGCGTTACGTTTTGGGGGGGGAGGGAGAGGGGGAGGGGAGGGACCAGAACGCGCGTTGTAGCCCAGAGGGAAAAAACACGCCCCAATCGCCCGACGGCGGCTGGCGTCTGAAGGCCTCCTCCCGAGCTCTGATAGGGAGCCCAAGAGAAGACGTACGCGCCCAACCACGCACCTAAACGTGGCCCCCGATCCACGAGACTGGCCGCGTGATACGAACATTCGCGCAATGCGTACGCTCGGAACCAACGTGGATTCATGTACGCTCGGAACCAACGTCTTTCTTTCGCTCACCATCTCACGCGTTCCGCCAGCGCTGGCAGCCGATGGTTGTCGATCAGTCGCCCTGCAGCGGCGGGGAGAAGGCTGGAGGGCCCAGGGGCGCCGTCTAGGGAGGGGCAGGGGGGGAGAGGGGGGGGGCCGCCTTGAGGAGGTTTCGGGAGAGGGAGGGGGAGGGGAGGGGCGGTCCCCCAAAACACACGACGGACTGTTGTTTGCTGTCTTCGGCCTCCTGGAGCCCTCGCTGGACCCCAGGACCGCCAACAAAACTGCGCGGGATGAACGAGTGGTCCTGGGGAAGGGGCCGCGACCTCTGGGGGCCCGCGCTGTCAGAAAATCACAGCGTTTGCTGGGGGTGTGGGAGGGAGAGCCCAGGAGGTGGAGAGGGGAGGTTGGCGGGCGGGCGAGGCGTGTCCTGGACGTGGGGGGCCGCTCGGCCTGCGTCATCGAGGCTCGGGAATCAGCGGGCTACCATGCTCAGCGCGACGGGAAGAGGTGCGGTATGCTTCACTGGGGACCTCAAGTCCAAAATGGCTGCGAGGATCCATAGGAAAACCGATGTGCTGTCTAGCGGAGACGTGTGGGTTCCCAAACGTTGCGCGCTATCTTCGCAGTTGTCTTTGCAGTCTCGCAGTGCTCCCCAAAAGGGCAACGCCCTGGCCCAGAACGCCAGGCGCGAACCACGGTTCTGTTCGCGCGACTGCGGATGACAGAGAACAAAGATGACAGGTCTCCTAGAGTAACCGCCACCTCCGGACAATAATTGGGCCCACCCTCTTAACGATTGAGGGTTGAATATCCCCGGCCAACACAGGTTTGGTCAGGGAAAGGAGGCGGCAAGGCCGAACTTGATTATCGCGGGGGGAAAAATGCGATTCGGAGTTGCTCTCTTCTTATGTTGAGTAACAAGGATCCTCAAGGAATCCAACGTACTTTCTCATTCGTCCTATGAATGCCCTAGGAAATCCTTTGGATATCCTATGGATGTCCGAAGGAATCCTGTTGATGTCCTACGGATACCGATGAATTCACTGAGGGGTCCTAATGGGAATTATATGCGTTTCTTGCGGGAACTTATGATTGTCCCAAGGAATTATATAGACCTCAGGAGGTCCATCGGATTCTTGGAGAAATCTATAGGAATCCTCAGAACATCCATAGGAGTCCTAAAGCAATCCGTCGGAGTCATTCTGCAATTCCTAGGATCCCCCCAGAGGAAAAATATAGGAATCAGTATGACATCCATTGGATGTCCTAGGAAACCCATCGGATTCCTGAAGAAATCCATGATCATACTTCGGACATCCATACGATTCGTCCTGAAAGCCGTAAGAAGCCTTAAGGAATCAGTGAATCCTTAGGGTTCCTTCGGGAATCCATGGGACTCCTTCGGAAGTCCGATGGGATCTCTTTGATTATATTTTTGTGCGAACGTTCCTTCGGACACCCATATGATTCCTTCAAAAAACTATAGGAATCCGAAAGACACCCATCGGATTCGTTAGGGGTTCCATCGGAATCCTTCGGAAATCCATTGGGTTCCTTAGGATATCCACGGGAAGCTTTAGGACATCCATATGATTCTTAAGGAAACGCATTGGATTCCTTGGGGCATCCCTCGGATCCCTTACGATGTTCAGAGGGCTCCTTCGGAAATCCATCGGTGTCCTCAGGGCAACCAATCAGCCAATGGAATGCTTAGGGAATCCATCGGGTCCTTCAGGAAATCCTTCGGATCCTTTGGGGGATACATAGGAATCCTTTGGGAACCCATAAGATTCCTTCGGAAATCCATTGGGTCCTTGCGGACACCCAAACGATTCGTGAAGAAATCTATATGATTCCTCCAGCAAGCACTGGGATTCCTTCGGACATCCAGAGGATTGTGGAGGAAAAACATGGGATACCATTCGGACATTTATATATACACACATTTAGATATAAATATATGATCCCTTAGGACAACCATCGGGTAAATGAAAGTATAGGAATCCGGAATACATCCATCGGACTCCGAAGCCATCGGAATCCTCAGGGGATCTAGGATAACCCTTAGGACGCCCACAGGATTCCTCAGAAAATCTGAAACAATCCTTAGACAACCTACGAGATCCCTTAGGAAATCGATCATATTCTTTCGGAAATATATTGGAATCCGCGGGGCATCCGTAGGACTCCTTCTGAAACCCATTGGATTCCTTAGGACATTTATCGGATTCCGAAGGACATCCAGACGATTCGTTTGGAAACCCATCGGAGTCCTTAAGACGTCAAATTTGGAATCCTTAGGGAACCCATGGAAAACCTTATGGCATCCATAGAACTTCGTCGGAAACCCATGGGGTTCCTGAGGACATCCATAAGGGTCCTCAGGCAATCCATCGGTTCGCTTCGGAACTGTATAGGGTTCCTCTGGACATCCATCGGATTCCTGAAGCAAACCATATGATTCGTTAGGACATGCATAGGAATCGTAAGGATTTGCATCTGGTAATTCGTAAGGAATCCGATGGCTTGCTCTGAAAGAGAGAACGCGTTTCACGGGCGCTTGCTTTGGGAACATTCGGAGGCGCGTTTCGAACTGGGAGGTGGGCCCCCCCAACACTCGGCGCCGTCGATCAAAACCAAGGGGACCCCCCTCCCTCCCAAACCCCCCCTTCCTCCCGCCCGACCCCCCCCCCTCACAAGGGGGGGCGGGGGTTCACCCCCCCCCCCCTGGCGCCGGCGACGGCGGCCGCCAGCAGCACCAGCGCTGGCGCCGGCGGGAACGCAGCGACGATAACCACCACTACCACCACAACCGCCACCACTACCACCACCACCGCCACCGCCTCAACCCACCACCACCACCACCAACCCACCACACAACCACCACCACCACCACCACCACAACTCACCATCACCACCACCACCACCACCACCACCACAAAAACCCACCACCACTACCACCACCACCACCACCACCGCAATCTACCCCGCCACCGCAACCACCGTCACAACCACCACCGCTACCAGCAGCACAACCCACCACCACCACCACCACAAACCACCACACCACCACCACCACCGCCGCCACCACCACCACCACCACGTCCACAAACCACCGCCACCACCACCACCACCACCACCACCACAAACCACCACCACGCCTCCACCAAACCACCACCACCACCACAACCTACCACCGCCACCACCACCACAAACCACCACCACCACACCACCACTACACACCACCACCTCCACCACCACCCACCACCACAACTACCACCACCACCACACCACCAACCACCACACACCACCACCCCATCCACCACCACCGCCACCACCACCACCGCCACCACCACCGCTACAACCCACCACCACCACCACCACCGTCCTGGTCGACCCTCCCCGCCGCCGCCGCCGGCCGCCGCAGGCGCCGGCGCCGGCCCAGAAAAGGAAATCGTCGTCCCCGCCGCCGCCGCCGCCAGCCGAGGAGAGGGAGAGAGGAGAGGTAGGGGGGAGAAGGGGGGGCGGTTCGAACCCCCTCCTACGCGCGCGCGAACGCGCGCGTGGCGACTTTGGTAGCGTCAGCAATGGACAAGTGTCCATATTGGCCTGCTAACTCGAATAACCCTTCGCGGTGACCAACGGGACTTCGGGCGACACGCCCGCGCGCGTGTCGCCCGATCGCGCGCGCGCGTTGCAAACATCCCATTGTCTACAACGAAAAGGTTGCCATGTTCGTCTGGATACTTAAGTGAACCCTTACCGGTGACCGGTTGGATTTTAAGTTCACGTGTGTTGTTCAACGTAGTCAAAAATCTATCGGAATCCCACCAGCCCTCTGGGCGTAGGTGGTCTAGAACAGATCCTCTTCCACCCCTCCCTCTTCCCCCTTGGGGAGGGGTTTACCCCTCCCCCTACCCCCTCCCCTGGACCTGGACGGAGGGTTCCGCGAGCGGTCGGACGGCTCTTTTGGCCCCAAGATGGCTTCAAGAGCGCGTCAGAGAGCCCAAGATGAGCTCCAAGATGGCTCAAGATAGCGTAAGATCGCTCGAGATGGCTCCCAAGATGGTTCCAAGAGGCCCAAAGACGGCCCCAAGACGGCTCCAAGTGGCCAAAGAGCTCCCCAAGGAGGCCCCGAAGAGGCAAAAATCGTCCAAAACCTGAAGAAAATCAATGTTGATTGCTTTCTCCCCGTTTCGCTTCCGATGGCCATCCAAGGCCTCAAGATGGCTCCAAGATGGCCCAAGAGGGCCCCACAAGAGGCCCAAGGGAGCCCCAAGACGGCCCCAAGAGCGCCTAACAGCGCTCCAACAGCGCCCCAAGAGCGCCCCAAGAGGCGATGTTTGGAGCTCCTGAGGGGGGAGGCTAATTAGGGAACCCCCCTTCGTTGATCGATCTCCTCCAAGATGGCCCCAAGAGCGCCCCTACAGCCCCCAAGAGCGCCCCAAAAGCGCCCCAAGAGGCGCCCAGACGGCCCCAAGAGGCGCCCAAGAGGCCTCCAAGAGGCTCCCAAGAGACCCCCAAGAAGCCTCAAGAGGATCTCCGAAATTCATTTAAGACGCTTCTGGCTCTTCGGTTCGCCGTCCTCTTCAATTTCTCATCCCCCTCTTCCTCCTCCTCCTTTTCCTCCTTCTCCTCCTTCTCCTCCCTCTGCTCCTTCTCCTCCTTCTCGTCCTCCTCGTCCTCTCCCTACTCCACATCCTCCTCCTCATTATCCTCCTCCTCCTCCTCCTCCTCTTCCTCCCCCTCCCCCTCCGACGAGGATTCCTTCTCCATCCTCCCCCTCTTGGGGTACGTGACAGCTTCCCGCGCCCTTTGTTATTCTGCATGCTCCCCGACTTCCCTGATCACCTCAACTCCCCTGGGCATCGTTTCTGGATGGGCTGGTGGGGATACGCGAAGCGTCAACAATTCTTACACATTGTCATATCGATGTACTAAGGGTCCGTACGCATTTCCAAACGAAACATTTGAATCGCCTATGGAATTCGATGGATGCCCTTAGGACTCGTATGGATTCCGACGAAAACCGCATGGATGTCCCAAGGAATTCCAATGGATGTCCAAAAGGAATCCGATAACTGTCCTCAAGGGCCCGATAGATTTTCGAAGGGATCCAATGGATGTCCTAAAGATTCCTGAAAATGTCCGAATAACTCCGATGGATTTGCAATGGAATCGGGAATCGGGTGGATTTCCGAAGGGTTCCTACGGATGCCCTAAGGAAGCCGATGGATTCCTTATAAATCCGATGGATGTTCGAACAAATCCTGTGGACGTCCTGAGACATCTCATGGAGGTCCAAAGGGATACGATAGATTTGCTGCGGAACTTGATGGATGTCTTTGGGGATCATACGGTCCTAAGGACTCCTATGTCTTGAGGAAGCCCAAGGGCTTCCTAAAACATCGTATGGACTTTCTAAGGAACCCGATGGATTACATAACGAAACCGATGGGCATCCTGGGGGGTCCAATAGACGTCCTCACGGGCCCGATCGATCCCCAAAGAATCCGACGGATTGCCTCAAGAACCCGATGGATTGCAACAGGAATCCTATGGGTTGCC